TTATTGTTGATGAAAATCAATCTTGCCATGGAATCAGAAAGGATTTACTGTAGTTGCCATCACCAAATACATGACATATTATGAAACAGAAACTGCACTTGTTATTAGCACATCAAAGAGACAAAGACTTGCCTTGAGAATGATCACACATTTTCAAATAAAACACTACCAAACAGCACTTTACTTTCTTTTTTTTCTTTACTTTGAACATATATTTAACTCATATGTTTCAAGACCTCATGCCATATTTGCAACCAAGCTTATTAATAGGCGTGCCAAAATACTCTTCATTACAAACGTAATTTATTTGCAACACGGCCATTTGTGATTTCCATTTAAGGACAATAGATAAATTGATATACAAGAAATCTGCTTTTATGATTTCCTGCTGTTTTCTCACTCTTACCTGGGTGTGATCAGCCCTTGTCTGATTTTCTCTCATCTCTCTAACCTTGCTTTCTTGGACATAATATGTTTGTCCCTCACTCTTTTCAAAGATAAGGCTGTAGAACACTGTTTCCTCTGTTCTCCTTCACCATCTTTGCCACACGCATCACCAAAAATAGCACCACTGTATCTGAGGCTACAGTAAGTTACCCCCAAAGAACCCTCAGAAGCTGCTGCTAGTGAAGCTGGCAGGTGCTGGTTGTTTAGAACCAGCTGGCCATATGGTGCATGAAGAACGCAGATGTTAAAGAAATTTCTGAACCGCCAGTTCAGTTCCACAGGTATTTTCAAATACTCCAAATGGACTGTATATTTTACTTTCTAGATTTTCTAAAAATACCTTTTATCAACACAATAGAAAAGTTAGCTTCTGTTCAAGAATTCCTAGTTGGTTTTAGGTTGAATAGGAGCCCACACATCCTGGGTTCTGACCACGGGAATGAAACCATAAGTATAAGGTATGATTTTGCTACTGGTGTTATCTTGGATACTACTGCATTTTATCTTGTTTTTGTTTTCTGCCTTTGCATGTAGAGTTATTGGCCAATTGTAACAAAATAAAAAGGAATGTTTATGCACCACTGTCAAAATCACACACACACAAATAAAAACAATAAACTTGTTATAATCTTCTTACGGCACTACACCACTAGAGCTATTTTCTATATTATGCAGTTAATTTTATAATGATTTTATAACAAATATTAAACTTCATATTTTTCTAAGGATTAAAAGTCTTATTAGACCTACAAAAAAAAAAACCAAATGAGTGTCTCATTCTTGCACCTACTAATTCAAATAATTGATAATTTCTTACCTTTTTTTCAAACAAAGTAATAAACAGATCAGGCTGTTTAAGTTCTGTGAGGGCTTGAGTCATGTCTAATTCTTATTTTCTATACCACATAATATTTAATCTACAGTTGGACACACAGAAAATATTTACGAAATATTTTTACAGTTATTTGGTCCTGACTTAGAAAACTATTCCAAATATCTCTCCCATCATAAGGTAAAGATCGAGTTTATGACATACATTGTGTAGCACCCCAACCGCATATCTGACACAGAAAAGCAATCTGCATTATTTCCTAGAAAGGTGAGATAACCCAGTAATTACAAACAAGGCTGTTAAACAAGTTTGCCCACAAAGGCACCAGACTATGGGATGCAGAGCAGGCTGCCGACCCAGGCTTTGGCTGCAGGTGCACAAGGAGTGCCTGGTATGCTTCAGTGGGTCATTTGTTTATGTACGTATGTGTGTCTGTCTGTCTGTATGTATTGAGTACAATGTGTGAAACAGCCTTGCAATTGTGTACTGAGCTCCTTAATACCTGCTGACATAAACTTCAAACAAACACCACTAACTTTTGTAGGCTAGAGCTACCAAACACCATTCAATTTATTACAAGCTGTTTTTCATTTCCTCTGACAATAAGATTTCCTTTTGAACAAACAAAAATCAAAAACAGGAGATATCGTTTAATCTTAAGACTACATGGCTCACATTGTGGTCACTGAGGCCCTAAAAGTTGACAAAGATATTTCTTTAAATCCTTCTATCTCTCTCTCTTCTAATACTTTGGTTTACTCTCACTTTCTCTATATGTGTGCTGATATTTACTTTATGTATAGGTGGCTATATAAATACCATATATGTAGTTAAATATCTAATACATATATAGTTCATTCATATACATACACATGCATATGCATATTTACATGCCTAACTACATACATACATGCATGCATATAATGGTATGAGGTCACAAAGGGAAGAAAGAAGTCTGAAGACTAAGCCTCGGGCTCACGGGGCTGGAAGAGGCAGTCCTCAGTCATGAGGACTGGGGCAGAAAACAATAAAGAATGGATAAGAGCAACTGATTGCAAATAACACTTTTAGTGAGTTTTGCTCTAAAGGTGAGCAAAGAAACCAGGTGGTAGCTAAATGGGAACACGTATCATTATAAACAAAGATACGGCCGCCGTTGCCGTAACAGCTATACAGGTATGGTAACAGATAAAAATTCAGATTCTCCCTAGAATCATCACACTTGGAATCCTGTCTCTCGTTTTTTATTTTTCTGTGGTCAGTTCCTTTTCATTACCCAGAGTCCTACTTAATCATTGTATCAAAATATTGCTCCCACCACCATTAATCTGTTTTCCCATCCTCTGTTTTATGTTAATCCATAACAGTTATCAATTCTTAGAAGTATAAAATGTATTTATTCACTTACTTACTGTCTGCTTCTCCCACTGGGATGTAAACTCCAAGAGGAAAACCATTTTTGTCATATGTATACCTGTCAACTACAACTGTGAATGGCACACAGGATGTTTAGTAACCACTTCAATTAATGCACAAATCTATGCTGTGTGGCTGCCCATAGACAGATACACACACACACTTCCATTGCCAAATCTGATGAGTTTTACTTATAGGAGAGAAAGATAAAATCATATAAAATCTTCCTTCCTGTTCAGGTCACATTGCAGAGAGGCAAGTAGCAGCATAGTAATCTATCATTTACCAAGGATTAATTTTTATTTTACAATCAAGTGTTTGCTAAGGTAAACTTTTTCATGTTCATGCCTGTACTTTTACTTCAACTGTGTGTCCAACACGCTTTGCAGTTAAGGTTTTATCTCAATTCTAAAAAATGTATTTATAGTGTAATACCTTGTCATTATTGCTGTTATTAAATGTTTTTACTTTGCAGAAGAACAACGAAAATAGTCAAAGCATAACCAAACATGATGAATCACCAAAAAGTAATCAATGAGACATAGGATTTAAATAACAGGTACCATCAGTAAATTAAACTTAATAGAAACTTAATAGAAGCATATTTGTTTCATACTAAATTTTCAAATACTCATGCTGGTACCTAACATGCTCACAGGGAAAAGGAATCCAATTTAAAATTTTATGAATAGGAAAAAATGTCCAAGTACATATGAATAAAAAATATACTCCCATCTGCTTGAAAAGATATGAAGAGACTACACGAATCCCTCTGGGTTGGCAAAACTGACGAGGACATTTCTCTAGCTCATGGGCGCTTACAGTGTAGTGAGAAAAACAGAAAATTTCAGTAAAATATGTGACATGAAAAGAGAGTAATTAGCCTGTTATAGTTGTTCAGGGAAGCCCTGCTGGGGAGATGATGTCTGATCTAAATCTTAAAGAATATGTCAGAGATTAAAAGCACACAACACAAAGTTTATATTGTAAAACTGTGAGTTATCTGGAGAACATATAACAACAACAATATTAAAGAATGTATGAAAGTACAGATATAGATTACAGTGTAAATCTGTCCTCCTATATAGAAAATCTAAATAGGTTTTTGGCAGAGGGTAAAAGCTTATCTCATGACTGGATACTGGTGTTACCATCTCTTAAATACTTTTATTATTTCTTCTAGGTGTATTCAGAGAAACTGCAGGCACGAGAATTGACAAGAATGTAGCTACCTTTGAAGTTATATACAGTATAGAGTAACCAAAAGTTACTCAAAATAAAAGACTAGTAAGAAGCATCCCTTTTGCAATTCACATAACTGACTCTTGATCTATTCTAAAAACAGCACTCATACAGACAGCCGGCCTCAAACTCCACATACAGACTTATTACAATTAAGGTAAAATATTTCACGTATGCAATATGCATCAGTTCTGTGACATTTCTCACTATAAATTTCTTCAGTTAAGATGTTCCATGAATAATTTGAAGACAGAATTCCTGCTCAATTGTCTAAGTAATTCCCATAGTCATAAAAAAAAATGTTTGAACACTTTATTATCCATGGTAACACAGCAAATCAGAAAAGTATGGCCTAGTCAAATGATAATACCAGAAAACGTCCACCATTTCTCAATCAATTTTAAAAGATCCTTTAGGAATAAGTCCCTAGAAATAGTTATTGTCCAAAATGTTACATTCTGACACACAGAAAATAGCTATCATTTTATAAAAAGGAAAAATGATGAAGCTCAGGTGTGAAATAAATCATTTCAAACATCAAAGTTGATATATTTCGTAGCCTATTGTTCTTGTGGGGTCAGGTGAGTTGTTTAATATCATTGAAACATTTCAAAGTAAAAGTGGAACTCTTAGACTGGCAGGTAAGTATTTAAAATTGCTTCAGGTAAAAAGATCAAAGTGAAATTGAGCTGAGAGATAAAATGAACAAGATTAGGTGACACAGTAGAAGAAAGAAAAGGGATCCAATAGGGAATTAAAGAAAATAGACATAGACATTTAGGCACATCCTATAAAAGACACTCAAAAAGTGAAAACATTTTATCACAACCTACACCAAGGATAAAAAAAATAAAAACACAGAATTACATGTTTTGTGGGGGCGAAAGAGGCCGGTAATTGATTTTTATGAAAATAGAGGAGACATTGGAAAGTGCAAGCGAGTGGTACAAGGTGAAACTCACAGGAAATGGTAGGAGAGCAGTTGAGAGGTGCTTGTAAATTTGGCTATCAGTGTACAGGCGACCTTCTGTATGTGTTAAATATCAATTTCAAAGTTCAGTACCTTTGCTTTGTCTCTCATTGATCCTTTGCCCAGGATAGACATTTTAGCACCCGTTTCTTCCTGTAGCCTCTTCAAGGAGTTTCCTCTTGGTCCAAGCAATTTCCCCACAAAATTGAACTAGGAAACAAAATCAATAAGATGTTGGTTTTAAGGCAGAGAAGAAGAATAATTTGTACCAAAAATAATTGATGGGTTATGGGTTTTTCAAACTTTACCATTGAGAAGAGAGTGATGCCATACATATACACACACCACACCACACACACACACACACACGCACACACACACACACACACAACTATTTCAGACCTCTAATCTGGGATCTATTTTAAAAAGAGATACCCCTTCCTACATGAATACCAAAATTAATAATATGTTAATCTTATCATTAACTATATCAAATAAATCACTTATTAAGAAAGTAGGAAGAAGCACTAAAGTTTACCAAGTTTCTAAAGGCAGTATTTTACTAATCAGACTTGAAATAAATGATTTTAACATGTCTATGCACTTCCGAACTTTCAAAAGTTAATATTTAAAGTTGATGTTTAAAGTTTAATATTCATGTTTCTTAAGCATAATATTCTATTGTAAATTTCATGAATGAGAAAAAAGAGATTCCATTTTTCTCCATCTTACATTGTTTGTGTTAAAGAGTTGTTTTTAGGATCAGAAAATAAAGGATTTGGGCACATAAAGAAACTTTTAAAACACTGCTGATAGAGAATATATACAAAAGGGTTTGTCTATGTGGAAAATTCTGGGCAGGGGATGGAGGTGGGATCTCTCCAATTTGTTCATTCATTCTGAAAGTTAAAAGCAGGTGAATTAAGAGCACTTATTAGAGTCTATTGTTATCTACTACAAGGAACATTATCGAACCAAATCTCTCAGATAATCTTTGATTAATTTAAGAAACACACAGGGCTTAGAATGCATCAAAAAATATGTTGGGGCATGAAGGACAAAGATAAATAAAATTAAGTAAGTGCCTTCTAAATCAGAATTTTTCACTTTTAAAAAAAAATCCATGGAGCCCGGCCAGCGTGGTTCAGTGGCTGAGCGTCGACCTATGAACCGGGAAGTCAGGGTTCGATTCTTGGTCAGGGCACATGCGGGAGGCAATCGATCGATGACTCTCTGTCACTGATGTTTCTATCTCTCTCTCCCTCTCTCTTCCTCTCTCTAAAATCAATTTTAAAAGCACATATTTAAAAAAAATCCATGGTGCCACATTAAGAAATATGCCATACTTAATGGTAAATAAACAATGATTTTCCCCTAATTTCAGGATAAAAATAAAGCAGTCTGCTCTCACCACATTTATTCAGTATTCTACTGGAGTGTGGGTTGTGTCTATAGGCAAACAGATAAATTGAACAGTATAAAGTTCAGACAGACTACACTTAAATGGTCAATCGATTTTCAACAGAACTGTCAAAGCAATGGATTTGAAAAGTAAGGTGTTTTTAACAAGTGGTGCTATAACAACTGGATATTCATAAGCAAAAAACAAAAACAAAAATGTATGCCTTACCTCACTCACATTTAGGCAAACCTTGTTTGGAGATCTATCATAGATTTAACCATAAAAGCTAAAATTCTAAGGATTCTAGGGAGAAACTATACAAGAATGCTATTGCAAACAAGCTGGGAAAGGTTGCTTAAATGGGAAGCAAAGAGCACTCATTAAAACTTTTGCTGATCCAGAAACCATTAAAAAGTTAAACAGACAAGCCACAGGCTGGGAGAAAATACTCCCCATGCATACATCTGAAAAATGACTAGTATCTAGAATCTATAAAGAACTCCATCAACTTGATAATTAAACACACACATGTACATCAGAATTGCTAGAACCAAAAAAATAGACCAAATGTTGATGAGAATGTGGAACTCTTAGAGCAATCACCACTGGCAGTTTAAAATGATACAACTACTTTGGAAAGAAGATTGGCAGTTATTTATTAATTTAAACATAAAGCTCCACTCTGACCTAGCAATTCTATATGTATTTAACCAAGAGAACTAAAAGCATATGTTCACAGAATGACATGTGCAAGAATGCATATGACGTTTTACTCACAATCACCTTTAAATTAATAAACCAGTGCCCACCCAAGGAGAGTCCATCAACAAGTTTATATGTAAACAGAAAGGAATTAGCCACTGATTGACACAAGAGCATAAATGTATCTCACAGACATTATTTTCCATGAAAGGGCCAGATATGGAAGAGTTCCTCATGTTAAATTACATTAATACAAAATTCTAGAGGCAAAAGTAATATATGGTGTTAGAATTCATAAAGAGTGGTTGCCTGTTGAGAAGTTAAGCTGAGGTTGAACTGGCTGGAAAGTGGCATGAAGGAAATGTCGGGTGATGGAACTGTTCTCTATTTTATTGAAGGCATTGTCTATTTTTGTCAAAAACTCATCAAGCTCCACACTTAACAACTGTGTATTTCTCTGTATGTAAACTGTACTTAACAACTGTGTATTTCTCTGTATGTAAACTGTACTTCAATGAAGAATGGAGAAAAACTAAATTAGAAAGTTGAAAATTCGCATAAATATTTTTAATATATATCATAATGAAATGTCCCACAATGAAATACCAGTCCCAAGCAGTTGTACAGAGGAATCTCACTAGATCTTTAAGAAATAGATCATTCCAATCTATGTAGACTATTCCAGAGAAAGAAGTTTAGAAATTGCCCATAACTCACTTTGATAAGCCAGTATAACCTTGATACTAAAACCAAATCAGAAAAGAGAACTTATAGACTAAATCCACTCATGAAACAAAACCTGTTCCAGAAAATAGTAGCATAACCAAGGCCTGTCGTATATACAAAAAAACAACAACCACATGATGTTTGAGTTGTCTTTATCACAGGTACACAGGTAGTTTAAGATTTATAACACCCAATTGTAATTCACTTATTAAAAATTAATGAACCCAATGGCTAACATTTTATTTAAACAGAAAAGTAATTTGATAAAATTCAAATTTAATCATTATAAAAACTAACATTGTCTGAAAAGTGAAAAAAAAAAAAGCTTTCTTAACCCAATATGTTTCTACTAAAAACCAGTAAGAACAGTATACTTAATTAGTAAAATAACACCAAAAAACAAAGTAAATATGTGTATTCTTGGTGTTCTATTCAACACTGATTGTGCAAATCACTGAATAAGGTAAATGTGTTAAGTGTTAGAAAGTAAAAAACAAATGCCATTTATAGTTTATACAATTATGTACATAAAAAGCTTCAGGTAATTTCAGAACATTTATTAGAATTAGCAACTAGTTTAGCAAGGTGTTTTATACACAGTCAATATAAAAATCAAGTGTATATATCTAATTAGAAAAAGAAATTAGGAGATATTATCTAGGACAGCGGTAAAAAAAATTAAAAAGACTTGAATAAATGAATAAATTTAGTTATGTATGTTCACAGCCTTTATGGAGAATATATAAAATATACTAACAAAGCCATAAAATGAATATAAACAAATTGAGAGTCACGCCATGTGCATGAATTGGAAGGCTTACTGTTGCATAGGTTTCTAGTATTCTCAGTTACATCTACAGGTTGCATATTTCGATGCAACTCTAATTACAATCACAATAGAATTTGAATCGGTTTACCAACTGGTTCTAAATGTCATATGAAAAGGTGCAAGTCTAAAAATAGCCAAGACATTCAGAAGCAGAAGAAGTTGAGGGCTATTCCAATCAGGGGTTAAGGTGTTCTCTCTGCCCCCTTCCCCCAAAAAATCAAGAGAGAAGGTGAAGCAGATTCAGAATAAGAGGCTTACTGACAACAAGGCGAAGGGAAAGGGAGGGAGCTGGATGCATCAAGGAATAGGAGAGGTCCCCAAGATTGTGCAGGGCCTGGCTTATGTGGGGCTTGGTCCTCCGCGCATGCGCACAGCAGAGCGCCTGGGTTTCGGTTCCCACGGTGGGCAGACGGTGCAGACCTGAGCGCAGGCAGGGCTCACAGACAGGACCGAAAACCATTCCATTTGTTTAAGAGTCTCAGCCTGTTTCAGTGAAGACGGTCGTGCTTTCAGTATGTTAAATATTGTCAAATAATTTGAAAGTATTTTATCCACGGTTTAAGAAAATTAGATTTATATGTCAAATCCATTTATGCTGAAGTTCTGAGCTGTTGTTTTGTAATAACTTTTACATTCGGAAAGACTTTTGAGCAATTTTAATCAGAGTTTAGATGTTTTTCTAAAAGCAAATATTTGAATTGTGTTGAGTATATTAACCAAGAACGTATTTCAATGGGTTTGTAAAGCAGCAAAACATAATTTGTGACAAAGTAAGGTTTACCAAAATAGGGGCATTTTAAGAAATATATTTCAGAGACATTTTTAACAGAGAAAATCCAAGAATAGTTTAAAATTAGGTGAAAATAAACTTCACTAATACTTGGTATACATATTTCAAAATTTACAAATTCATTCTTTAAGTATAGGACACCCCAGAATATCTTATCTATAATCTCCCATTTCACTATTTCCTCATGATGAATATACTTCTTCATGCTGAATAATATTTCATCAATATGTATATGAAATAAAACTTTTCTTTTTACATGTAGGATTCTTCTGGTCATATGTTTATAAACTAATTCCAGCTACTCTGTTTCTTCTCCAGTAGGAGAGGCAATTCACCTACACAGTTATCTCTCTGTGTGGGGCACTAGGGTTACATCTGCTTTGTGATAAAAGGGCAGTGTGACCACTAGGGCCACCTGTGAAGAATCCGTGATGGTCTCTGGTGCTGGCCTCCTCTCATTCTTCCTTTTTCATATGACACAACTGGACTTGAACTCCCTCATTTCCTGATCCTAAAATCCGTCTTGTCCTCATATCTGATAGTACTGGAACCCTATCTTCATTTCCATCCTTTTCCTGATTTGGAGATGAAGCATTTTCTTGGTCACTGGGAATTCAGAGAGCTTCTATTCTGCACTTTGGGAACTCAACGTTAAATCAACATTTAGTACTGTACTCTTCTGTTTGTTNGGAGATGAAGCCTTTTCTTGGTCACTGGGAATTCAGAGAGCTTCTGTTCTGCACTTTGGGAACTCAACGTTA